AACTTGTGTTTCTGTCAGATTCAAAAAATTAATAATGTGACCTCCTTGGAATGTGTCTATCTGAACAACTGAAATAATGGTTTTTAAGATCGTGTTGTCACAGGGAGATTTCTCTATTCTACGTCTGCTTTCTAACCTCAACTATGTAGCTTTCACGCCTCGACCTTGGTTTTTGTGTGGTTCAGCTGATATTCTTCTGACTATAAGTGGTGGTTTCTGCTGATTTTATATGTATGTTTACACACAGTGACGATCTACACAATTACCTGCTTTGGCCTGTTTTGAGAGTGTTCTCTCGGAATCAGTTGTGTGAGACTTACTTATTTTGTTGTCTACAGTTCTTGACAAAGTAAAAAAACAACTACTGAACGGACTACCAGAGAACTTGGTGAAAGCATGTGGTATAGATCAGGAGAGATCATTGTAAATCATGGCGCAAGTCCAGATCAATCCAGTATTTCTTTTTCATTTTATTTAACATTGAGAGATTTTTCACCTTTTTCAATGATTTTGTCAGGAAGTAATTCATGGATGTTGATGAGAAAAAATCTGTCATGTTTAAGGAACTGATATTTATGTGTGTGTACAATTTGGTGCCGATCTAAACAAAAATGTGCATCTAGAGAATTTAAATGTGGTTTCACTGGTGGATGTATGCCATCTACTGAATGCCTTTCTAGTTTGAAATGAGTCCCTTCATCGCTGTATAAAACATTTGCTATAACTTCAACAACGGCTTCATTAAGTTCCAGTGTGTCCCAGTAAGGCAGGGATGCAGGACTGCAACAAATTATGATTTTCAGTATCAAAAATCTGTTGATTTGTTTTAAATTGATCAGTCTATATCAGGTCAAAGCCAGGGGGCCTCAGGTGTCATTTGCGCATGATTAGTTTAGTCTAACTAGTAGAGACAAACAGAAAACTCTCTAATATGACAAGCTGTGGGACAAGAGGCAGACTTGAAGTTATTGAGGTTCATTACCATCGCTCACTGTGAGCTGTCTTTAACACTGCTGGTAACACGTGATTTATTACAGTAAAGTCGTCAATTTTTGCTTCTGCAAAGAATGATGCTACACTGTCGAGTGTGAGTGGGTCTTATGATATGATTGTACTTTTGTAATGTTTTCGTTCACTTTAAAACTTAAAAATACTCTACTCTACTGGTAAATCTTCATAATGTTGATACGCAGGGCGCGAATCCGAGGGCAGGCCCAGGAGGGGGACTGCCCCAGCTGAAATCGAATTGGCCCTTGAAGTGCCCCTGTCCGGTCAATAGTGTTTTATAATTCTATTATTATTATTATTATTTTCAATGACGTGTGGCTTTGCCTAAAGCTATAGAACTTACAGTAATCAAGGGATGACTTAAATGTACACTTTGATTGATTGATTAAAAAGTTGAATGGATGTTGGACATATAGTTGACCCTGTGTAAATTGTGGCCCTTTTATGGCCCCTGATTTAAAATAATCATAGATCTGCCACTGTTGTTATACAAAACTCCCCAATTATTGATCACTAATATTTGACAGTGTTAATGTATTGTTCAACTAGTGTTTGATAATAACAGACCAGAAAAATGAAGTGTTTTTGTGACTAGGTGTGTGCTGACGAGGTTTTGACCATGTTGCCCGGTTACACCAAAATCACCGGTGCAGAATGTAGCACGGTTTAATCTCGTGAGAGGGCCAGCCACCCCCCACCCAAACCCAAAACACAACGCTCTCCCTCCCCATTCCCCCTCTGTCCCTCGACTCAAATTCCACGCTCAGCCTCCTGGGAGCTCGCCTGTGCGTCACTGCCCTGGTCACAAAGCCCTCCAGAGAATGCTCACAGTGGAGCTGGCGCCGTCCGCCACAGGCCCTGTTAGTCCTCAGCAATATGTGAAAAATGCTGCCTTGACGCACATCCAGCTCAACCTGCCTCCTCACCGGAGCATATAACAGCAAGGAGGGCATTACAATTACACACTCTCTGAGTATGAGTGGACATGTCACACAGAAAGAGGTCTGCACAGCACACATAGCTTCAAGTGATGACAGCTTACACCTGGGGCTCTTTTTGTCCATCACAGATACTTTCCACTTTTTCATTGGTTAATATCTTTGCACACTAAGGATTCAGGTATGACTCTCACTCTGTCTTTACACAAGCTACATTTTGTGCATCTTCTGTGTTGTGACCTTAAGCACAAACACAGTATTCTAGATTTAAGTCACTTATAAAACAGAATCGCATCAAATTATTTTGATGCAGCCTCTCAAATTTATAATAATATAATAATAATAAAATAAACTATATTTCAGCTATATTTTCAGCTGTAAATTTACAAGCTATATATATGTCCTGTATTAAGTTGAATGCTTTCTAAGTGAGGAGCTGGTCTCAGCCCATCAGTTAAAATTCATCACACAACAAAAGGGAGAAGCTTTTGCTGCTTCTTTAATTTGAGTCAATGCTCATAAATGTGCTTCATTATAAAACAACAGCCGGGTTTCTATACAAATATCCCAGACTTTATATTTGTGTTAGTAACTGGATACTCAGAAAACCTGATCATAACAAACATGTCAGCCTGCATGTAGGTGTAGAACATACCAACACAAGTATATCCATACAAAGCATTTTGTATAAATTATGTTTATACTATGCATTTTATAGGCATTGTATCTGAAGTGGATTGAGTGTGTTGGATTGAATATATAGCTCAGACTCTTTTTTTAGGGGGGGGGGGGTAAAGCTAAAGCTCTGTTTGGTCTGATAGGATACTGATGTCACTAGCTGGGTGTTGCCATGACAACCTGGTAGCAGCGTGGATGAATTACAGCCTTCATGTCTGTTCTCATCTACAGTACGTTACAGGGTTAGCAGACTGCCATCCATACATTCAGAAGCACAGGTTGATGCTTTAATCTTACTGTCTGTACATTGTTTTTCTGATTTGTGAGAGGTAACAGGTATACGCCACATTTGGGATCTAACAGTACTGCGTATGTTCCTGCATATTTTGTCAGGAATATATTTATTTGTAATAACGTGGGACAAGACACAGCATTTGATTGAGAGTAATTGACCTCAGAATCACTGATGTCAGATTTAAAAGAGCGATGTAGGCCTCATTTTGTTTGCTCATTATCTTGTTTTCAACAAATGCTGCCTCAATGTTGCTATGTCCTTTCAGTACATGTGTCAACGTCGCCTGTGTGAGTGACACACGTGTGACAGCACGCAGGACACTGGTCAGTGTCACCCTGCGTATGATCTCAATGACATATTGTCATATTGCCGCAGTTGGATATTTATAGACTAGTGCTCTGTGCAGTCCCACATGATGTGCAGCTCCACTGACACAACAACACAAACTGACCCCCGGTCTCCGTGGTGCATCTGCTCAGCATCAGGGAAATGAGCCTCCCGATAAAACCACTGTCATTAAATTTAATTATCTGCTCTTTATGGCCTCCCTGCAGTCAGCTGCTTCCCGTGGGTCCTCTAAGCACTGATGTGTAATTGGTTGGTTTGGTTGGATTATGTTTATCTCTCAGTGTATTATAAATACAACTACTATAAAAACACAAAAGTCAATATCACACATTTAAAATGATTCTGTGTGTGTCTTGTTTTTTGTGAACTCTTTAGTACCTTCTCCAGCATAAACACCGACCGTGCCAGGAGCCCTCATGGGGTCCACAACCTGGTCCTAATCAATTCAAATTCATTTTTATATGTTCAGCTCATATTCACAAGTAAGAGTTTGCCTTACAGGGCTTAACATTCTGGACAAGGTGCAACATTTTCTGTCCTTATCCTCAACAAACGTGTGGAAAATCAAAAACTCCTTTGAACAGGGGGACAATTTGCAGACACCTCAGGTTGTCTCTCTCCCAGGATGATCAGAAGTGCAATAGATGGTTCGGTTCAGGTTAGGGGTCAGATGTGAATTGAAGTTTTTGTTAAGCTTTTGGTTAGGCTGTACATAGTAACATTGTTAGTTAAAAAAGCTAATGCTTTGATGTTTAGATATTTGTTTGGAGTGAGAAGAGAGCACACACCATGTGCATCTCAAAATCCATTCTTAATTTCTTTGCCAAACATTAGTGTACTTTTAGAAAATTTTAAGATGCTGTAGCTGGGTTTTAGTAAACAAGAAAAATCAGATTTAACTAAATTGATGCACTGAATGAATAAAAATGAATGAAAACTGAAAGGCGATTGGTAACCTGGTGAAAAAGAGGGACAGAAACTGCTGATGGCGCTTGTGTCAGTGTTATTACCTTGATGACATCCTCAGCCAGTGAGTGTTCAGATGTTGTTTATGCATAACATGTCATGTTCTCTTTTAAGTGGTCGGCCTAATTAGCTCCCATAAGACTACATTATTATTGAAACTGACACATGGTGACTCTCCACCACCCTGCACTGGACAGCATGGTAAATTATAAACTACACAAGGTAAAAGGGGTTGCTTAGCAACTGGAACGCAGCAGGTAAAACGTCTTTGGTTTCAGCTCCATACAATGACAGACCCCTTACTGCTGGTCTAACAGACAAACAGTTATTCTGCGATGGTGTGATGTATTTCTGTATATCATATAATCAACACAGCTTTGCTTTGGCAGTTTCCCCTGAACACATCAACGCAAGCAAATCCAATCTTTTGTTTACCCTGAACTTTATCCATTCAGCTATAAGGTTGCTGAGCAGAAATTAACTTGGGTTTTGAATACCCAGTTAATTATTTTATGAAAATGTGGAATGTTTTGCATTTTATCTCAAGAGCTGGTGTTGTCCTCCGTAGCTTAAATGCTACACCTTTATTATTGTTTTTGCCCATTGTCGTCTGTTCTAATGACCTCCATCCAGCCTCATGCAGTTTTTTATTGAATGAAAAAGCTCTGATAAAGACAGACAGATGCCGTTGACAACTATAGCTGGAGAACATATTAAACTTCAGCTGTTTAAAGGTCCAGTGTGTAAGATTTAGGTGAAAGGGATCTATTGGCAGAAATTAAATATAAAATAATCCCAGTGATCTTTTCACTTGTGTGTAATCAGCTAAATTTTATGAATTGTTGTTTTCTTTACCCTCGAATGGACCCTTTATATTTAAAAACTTTATATTTACATGGAGGAGGGTCCTCTCTGTGGAGGCCGCCATATTTTTATTGCGTCCAAACTGCACAAACTTAACACCTTTTGAGTTTTTATGACAACTAAAGTCTTCCACAGGTTCTTTCATGTTTGGAAGGGGAGGGTGAGGTGAGGGGTGTTCAGCTGCAACATGCAACGTCAACACTAGATGTCACTAAATTCTACAGACTGAAACTGAGCTGTTGGAGACTTAAACACTGTGAACAGGAAAATAAATATTGGACTTTCATTTGCCATGTGGCTGCCATAGACTATATGGAGATGGATGACATGACAGCTCCCCAATACCACTTGGTGGTTGGCTGCAGTATAAGTCATAAATCCTGCCTCATCCATGTTAGTGGATAGGACATTGACCAAAGTAAAAACTCAAAGTACATTTATCACAAAGATGGTTTCTGACATTTTATGCAGTTCTGAGTGCTGTGATGTTTGTTCAGGTGTTTTATTTTTTTTGTTTAGTTCTAAAGGTAGGGTTGGAAAGTTGTTTCTGAAAGACCTTTGTATCTTATTTGTTGAAATCCTCTTTACTTCCTGACAGCCAGCAATAAATAAAGTCTTCTGAAAATAAAGAAAACGGCCAGAATCTGTGGGCATTGCAGGGATGGATTTGGCTGGTTTACCTGTCTGTCACTAACCAACCTGTTTGCCTGCGTGCCCCCTGCCGTTGCTCTCACATGACTATAGTCTTCAGCCGGAGAGACGTACACTGCTAACAGTTGTCAGTCAGTGCTTGTTCATGTGGGATTAGCTCTAACGGCAGGGCCGATGGTAGGGGCTGGGATATATTGGTGGCATTTTTTTTCATGTACTGTATATATGAGTGTGTGATGCATGCTATCCGGTTGTCGGATTTAGCTTCTTTCCCGATAAAAAAGAAATGTTGGCCTTGCCACGCAGTTACAGCAGATGATAGATGGCTTAACATATTTAACCTACAGATGCCGCTATTCCACCTCATTGCGATGCAGCCTTATTTTAACCTACTGTCTATGCATGCGGGGATGCAGAATATTTATTTATTTATTTATTTTCGGGGGGACGTAGTCAAGGGGGGGGGGCGTTGTTGTCAAGGCGGCCGCCTTAACTATAAAGCGCTGCGGGAAACCCTGTGATGGATTGAGCCTTTACAACAGGGAGACGTGTGAGTGCTATGGGTGAATAAACAGTTAACTATTAGACAGTACTTTTGGACGTTTCCTCGTTCTCACCACGAGGCCCCACCCCTGCTTGTTGTGACAGAGAGTGTGAAGACAAACAGAAAATTCTCAGACCAAGGCACTTACCATCTAACTGGTTCCACTGGAATGTGGTTATGAATGCAAATAGTGGAGGCCAGAGAATCTCCACCCACAGCTGATTAGGTCTGACAGGGCTCAACATTTTCTCTAAATGACGAGGAAAGCTGGTGTCAGTGGAGCTAATTCATTAAGACTCTCACAGTCGCCTGAGAAGACCAATGAAAAACCTGAAAGTTTCTATATCCACACAAATCTGTCAGTGTTTCTGATTTGATTATATATGGTGATTGTGTTGTAGCAGTTTTTCCAACAATCTTGACTCCACACGCAATGAAAAACCAGATTTTCTGGTGCGGAAAACCCATTGCAGTTTATGAGTCACTTCATGTCATCTCCTTTGCTTTTCTTTCCAGATTTATGCTGCTCACAGAGACTGTGGCGCCCCAGTTGCTGCTCCTTGAGATCATTTCCCACACAGGTCAGTGTCCATGTTGTATACCTGTTCTCCCATTCGACGCTGCTGTCGCTGCCAGTGTCCCCAGCCTCTACTGTAATTGAACTAAGGCTTAGGTTGCAAATATTGCTTCACCAGTCCTTCCATTATTAATCAGGGCTGGTCCCCAGTAAGTATTTCATGTCTTCAGTCACACTTTATGAGCTGTCTGTGAGGTGCTGCCCTCTGCTGGTGAGTTTACAGTGCTGTGTTACGAGGCTGTTCAACTTTGCATTTGGTAAATGTGGAAATTGGAGCCACATTGAAAGGTTATTAACCCTCCAACAACGTACCTGTTTTCTTATTCTATTGTAGTGTAAGAAGATGACTGTTTTCATGTGTACTTTGGTATCGTTGGGTTTTACACATGACGTCTAGTTTGTCTCGATTCCTTTTCAGGTGCAGAGTTTGAATGAACATTGTGTGTTTGAGAGGCAACGTGGTTTAAAAAATAAATGGTTTTGTTTCCATTATGAAAAATGCGCTGCTCAATTGTTGAGCTTGACCAGAGTCAGGGACTAAAATTTAGAATCTCTTTCTTTTGATTTTTTCATCTTTAAGGAGAATATTGAATTGATGGAGGTCATGATACTAGATTCTATTGGTATGGATACTATAACATGCCGTTACTGATTTGACTTAGATCTAGTCCCTGATTAATTTCTTTGTTAGCTTCACCAAGGAGGTAACTATACTATTGCAGGTAGCAGGATATGCCAAAAATACGGATTACCATGATAAGATGCTGTATGGCTCAGGAAAGAGCCCATCAAGGGTGAATTCATGATTTATTTCATCTTGCTTTAACGTTATGAGATTAATATGCGCTCTTTAACATTTTCATTGATTTCTCAGACAATAATTCATGGGTCTTGATGAAGAAAAATCAGGCTTAATGAGTTTGATATTTCTGATCGTGTTAATTTTGAATTTAAATGTAGTTTTATTAGGGGATTGATGGGCCTTGCTGAAAGCTATGACTGGGTACTGGGTAGCATTCTAGTTTTAATATTAGTCCCTCATTAATTGCAGGACCACTGTAATAGCCACAATATTAAATAATATTGGTTTGGATATTTTGACATACAGTTTGACTTAGATTGAGCCCCAGATGCACTTGGTTCAGGTGTGAGTTGTGAAGTGGAAGATGCTGCACTGCAACTCGGACTTGAGATTCCTTAAATTGAAGCAACATGTGATACCAAGTCACAGTGGTCAACAAATTGTGACAAGTTCAACAGAACAAACGTCTCTGTTTTTAAGTTGAATAAAAAGCATATGTCATTTACAATAAATAAATATATATGTTATGGCTGTCTGAGTGTCCTAATGTACTGACTATGCATGATTCATAACTGATACTTAATATCAGTTAAGTTTTAAGTTAATATCATTAATTGATATATATGTATATTTGTTATTTATTTTTAGACATATTTTATGCCTTAATTCATCTGTTTGTACCGGAATCTAATCATAGCAGAAGCTTTAGTCTCAATGTTTCATGTCTGTTGATTTCAACAGTTAAATCAGCTCAACAGTTTAAACTTCAGACTTGCAGCACTGCAGTTTTTAGGCATGAATCTGTCTTCGAATTCATGCAACTGCTCAACAAATATTTGCGCTGGTAGCTGCTATAGAGAAGTGTATTAACCACACATAGGAACCTTTAGTGATTTCACTCAAATGATTGTTAGTACATGATGTTATCGGTGAAGAACCACTCAACTTATGGTCCAGGAGCTACAATGAAAACTATAAACTCACTTCATGTTCTAATCACCTTTTACTCGTGTTTATTACAACATGATGTTGCTGATACTGAGAGATACAGTTTGAGGACAAATGAGCTTTTTTTAAAAACTTTCTCTTAAAATAACATCCATATATTCACAGAGAGTTGTTGGTCACTGGTCGTTTGTTTCATTCCTAATGTTGTTCTAATGCACTCGTAAGTATTACTGGACAGAATCCAGCCTTCTTTCACTTGTATTCAAAACAGCTTTAACTATGTTATGTAATTAAATTCATATTTTGTACACTTAATAATATAGTGTTAATATAAAGTGTTATGTAAGATCCTCTACTCATAGTGGAATTTGGAGAAAATTGGGATGATGAGGTTGGAGTTTTTAAGCTGCAGGTTTCTATTATTTTACTGTAGCTTGTCCTATTGTCTCTTATCATTGAATTGTAAAATGTTATGAATTAACTAAGAGAATAACAAATAACTATATCAATCAGTTTTATTTATGTAACCTACCTGCCTGTTAATTCCCTGATGTATTTAAATCTTTTGCTATTGACTGAGGGGATATTTTGTAATGTACAACTGCAAGGAAATAAAATAATGACCTGAAAGTAATGAAAAGAATGAGGGAAGATCTTACTTTGACTTTGGAGGAGGCCCACTTGACTTGCTAACACCTCACATAAAGTCCACTCTTATCCCCTGTTGGGATCGTATTAGAAAGACACCCTTCACAGCCAGTATGAGCAGAAGTGTTAAAGGGATAGCTGCCCAAAAATGAAAATTCACTTATTATCTAGTCTCCACTATGCTGGTAGAGGGGTGGGTGAAGTTTCCAGTCAAATATGAATGTCATCTAATGACCACACGAGCAGGCTTTTTTTTTTTTCTGCTGGTTTTTTTTACGTGTGAAGAAGGTGTCTCATTTACTTCAATTCTATTGGATTCGGCTGCAGCGCTGTTTACCTCTGAGACTTATAGTAGTGTTGAGAAAATGAGGGAATTTTCATTTTTCAGTGAACTAACCCTTTAAAACGTCTTTGGTCTGTAGTAATAAATTTACTCCACATGATGGCAGCGTCGGGCAGACTATCTCTAAGAACACCCTTCTTGATTTTAGTGTTCTGTCTGCTGTACTGTTCTATACACAAGTTGATCCAGTCAGTAGCTCTAATAAATTATCCTGCATGCTCCTTAGTTGACCTTATTTGGTTTGGCTGACATAACTCAAATCAGGAAGCCGCCTATATTTTAAGCAAAAGATACATAACGGATCCTTCACCTGCTTCTTTTTGAATTCTGGGTTTTTTTTAATGTGTGACAGAGACGTGTGGTGGCAACTAATCACAGCTGCACATATAAGAGATATTCAGCACATACTTGAGTGCAACACAATTTAGATCACAGTGGAATGAGGTGACATCAGGTGGGATAATGGCAACCAGACTTATATAAAGGTTGGTGGTTTGAATGAAGTTAAATAATGGCAATAACAGGAAGTTAAACTTTTATTGAATCAGCATTAGGTCAGGAAAAAAAAGCCTCACAAAAACAGTTTGACTGCATCCACATTACATTGGCTCTAATTTAAAAAGAATCAATGATTGATGATATGCTATAATACAGTGTCTCAGTAAACATGTTAAACATTTCTGCCTCTGTGCAGGTGTGCTGCTCACAAGCTGCAGAACCTCTATTGTACTCATGTGGGCAGAAACACGAGCCAGCTTTTTGCTCAGGGACACAACAGAGTGAGAATCTGTATTTGTGGGAAATGGTGAATCTTCCCAGCCCCTGTTTGCATTTTAAAACAACTTGATTGTAATGATCACACAAGAGGTGTAAGGGTCAGGCTGAGTGAAAAGTTTGGGCTCGGTGCAACTTGAGCTGCAGAGTGTCCAGGTGCGTGTTTGTGTATGTATAGGAGGAGGTTTACACATTTACTGCATTATTCTTGCACCCATGGGAGATCCCAGGCCTCTTCAGGCATGTCCTCCATCCTGTTTCATACAGTAAGTCTGTGCTCATATATGGGCATCTTCCTTCCTTCTGCTTGGTTGCACTACGTCCGCTTCCTGAACAACCAGCCCCCTCCTTCCAAATCTTCCTCCCACTCCCACCCATCTTTCTCTCGCTCTCTCAATCTCTCTCACACACATACATACACACACTCCTACTCATTTTGGTCAGCTATGGGCAGAGGCGGGAGTGGCTCTTCCCCATGCAGGAAGTAATGTGGTTAATACTCATTTGATCACTAGCTGTGATGGCTTGCATCCATGACCAGCAGGCCGGGACTGGTTGTTTTGCTTTTGTGCCTCTTTTGTTTTTTTGTGGGTGCAGATTCCATCTGTAACCATATGTTGAGAAGGATGGAAATAGCTCATATGTCTGCACGTGAAGCTGTTTGTTTCTCTCATGCCACATGTCACGCTTTGAAATTGTTTTTGGAGCCAAAGGAAAAGAAAAATCCTGTTTGATCTGAAAGAGATGGATCTGAATATATTCTAGACCTTGTCCTCATGTGCAAAATCTTTGGACGCTTTCTCCCCTGCCCAGGATAAGAGGAAAATAAAATAAATCTTGGACTTGCAGAGATTTATGTTCGTAATGTTATTTATATACATGGACCTCTAATTCTGGGAGTTCAAACCAGGATCAGTGTTCACTGGGTGGCCTCCGGGTGCCCTGGATGCATGCAGATACCACTTTAGATTAGCCGCCGTATCTGCACTGCTGTAATGTAGACACATGCTCGCTTTGAAGTAGGACAAACTGCCTCATCAAATTTTTGCCAAAGGGCACAGAAAATATCTAGTGTGGAGCTGAAGCTGGTTCAACCTCTGCATTTAACTTTGATCATGTTTTCGTGATTAAAAAAATCTATACACACTGGACCACATGTATTTGATTATGCTGTGCAGTTTATTAGCACATGTGATGCTTGTGGGAAGAAAACAGAAGCCATCCAGAACCGAGTCTGCACGAAACCGTTAGCGTGAATGAATTATGACTGCAGTTTCAGATGTGTAATTACCATGCCCCCCCCCTGCTTGTTGCCTCTTTGTGACATATTATCAAGCCACTCAACAACTAGGTCACTGCAGATCCTGTTTCCATGGGCAGGATTCTCACATAACTGCCTGCCAGGTGCTGTCCTCAGCTCTGCCTGTGTGAATTGCAAGGAAGGGTACATGCATGTATTGTTTTTAAGCCACGCTAGCGTCATGTCTCT